CATACATATTTCATAACTAGCCGTTATAATTATTTACCGTTAGATGGACAGTAGATGGACAGAGTATTTTGAAAATTTACCGTTGATGATGTGCTCTATAAAATAGATCTGATTTCTATATCAAGTTGACATAGTGTTTCATTTTCAGAATAGCATTTATATGTTGTGAATTTTTTTCTTTTCAGTCATTAGATATTTGTTTTCCTTGAAATTTTAATTAATATTATCTGCTTCTGAGTTTGAGCTTCATATTTTTCCTTGAAATTTTAATTAATATTATCTGCTTCTGAGTTTGAGCTTCATATCATTACAATATTTTTCAGTAAGTGTATTGTATTTTTTTCTAAACTATGGAAGATTTCGAAATGTTTGAGGAATCACTAATGTTTGAGCACAACACTCATATTAATTTTATGTCGGAATCTTCACGAGAACAGAACACGCAGAACAGTGATAATCATTTTATTTCAGAACCTTCTCGTGTTTCTCGTGGTAAAGCATTCACAATTATAGAAGATGAAACTTTATGTAGATCTTGGTTAGCTGTCTCTCAAGATCCCATTACTGGTAATAGTCAGAGTATGGCTATATTTTGGGAACGAGTACTTGTTTATTTTATTTCACAATTGAGTAGTGAATCAAATCGAAATCGTATTTCTTTGACTCATCGTTGGTCTGCCATACAAAAGGCAATTAATAAATTTTGTGGTTTTCTTGAACAAATTCAACTGAGGCAACAAAGTGGAACAACTGAGGCAGATATGGTAAATTTTATTTGTGTTATTAAATATCAAATTTATTTTTTAAATGTATACTTGTTATTGAAATCTTTGTAATTTTTTTTTGTAGGTCACTGAAGCGAAGCGGATGTATCATGCAATATAGAAAAAACACTTCATATTTGATACATGTTGGGAGATTTTGCGCCAAAGTTGTAAGTGGGATGAATTTCGATCAAAAAGAAGCACGCAACATACTGATCCATGTTCGAATCCACCAAGTGAATATGAGGCTTCTCAATCCAACTAGAATAATGCAGTGCATGAACAACCATCTAATACATCAACACGACCAATTGGTACTAAGGCCGCGAAAGAGAAGTTGAAGAATCAAATAACGCACGATAGTAGATTTGATGAAATAGCTGCTAACCAATCCAAAATTGTTGAAGTGTTATCAACTATCTTTGCTAGAACTATTCAACGAGATGAACAAAAGGCGATAGACCATGCGCAGAAGGCTGCAGAGCGTCGAAGAAGGGCCGAAGATAGGGAAGAACAACTAAAACTCCTATCTATGATGAATGAAAGAGAACAACGAAATGAAGATCATAAAATTATGTCAATGGACATGACAAATTTAAATCCTATGCAAAAGGCGTACTACGAAGATCTTCAACGACAGATTTTATTTCGAACAACTAATAGATTGCCTTGAAAGGTTCCGTATTTGTGGGTTTTATGTATTGGTTTTATTATTTAAAAATATTACGTCTAACGTGCATTGGTTAGTTTTTTTGGTTTTATGAATTTCCCCTGATACGTATTTTTGCCATATTTCAAGTTCAATACCTAATTCTTGCCATGTTTTTTTGCATAGGCAGATCTTTGGCTTGTAGTTCAATGTGTTTTTTTTTTAATTAACCTCCTCTTCTATAAAATGATATTTAAAGTGAAGTCATTGACTACTATAACATGATTTGTACAAGAGGAATCATAACTGGATAATGACCTTGTTGTTGCATTTTCAGGATGTACATAATCATATCCTTTGTCAACTACGCATTAAAATGAAAAACTACAATATAAAGTGATAACAACTGCATAGGCCAATGTCATAACAAATTGACCCAACAAAAGGTTTTTAAAATAACAAAATACAAACCAATACAAATACATAATGTGAAACACATCAACAGTCATTATCTGGTGGTGGTGGTGGTGGTGGTGAAGAAGGGTAATAGTGCTGGTATATATCATTTACGCGATGCTCAATTGTATCTACGCGATGCTCAATGTCCACACGGAAATCACCAAATTGTTGAATTAATGAGTTCTGTGCAGTGGCAAATGTATCAAACTGACTACCCAACGAATTGACCTGATTAGCCATTTGCTGTTCCCATTGAACGCGTTGATTATAACGTTGTTCTTCCATGGCCAAAAACTCAGTCCAATATTGAGGTTGTTTAGTTGATGGCATCAAATTGGCATGAGGATCTTGTGGAGCATCATCTTCTGGGACTTCATTTTCTGAATCTTCTGAAGCATTATCACTTCCCATTAAATTGGAGGCTGCACCAGCACAGGTCACTGTATACTGATTAATTGGTGAACGGATTTTGATATCCATTTCATCTGCAAGGTGAACCTTAAAATGTTTGAAAATTTTTGTTAAGAGTGCCCCAAACAGTAATGATCGACCTGTGAATTGACCTTGATTTGCCAGTACCATTTCTTTCATAATTATGTAACACAAATCTATCTTCTGACCAACTTCAAAATAGTATAACGAATAGGCATTAAAATATGGGACAACATCATGGTGTCCTTTTTTTGGAGTGACATTTTCTACAATCCACCGGTGGAGAATCCGAAGATAAGGTTTTAAATGTCTTGCTTGTAAACTAGTCCCAGTAAATCTGTTCCGACAAATAGTAGTAAAGACATCAGTAGCATTACCAATGATATTAGCTAACTCACCCTCAGTCTGAAAATGAATATTTTCATCACCTAACTCAACTCCAACAATGCTTGCCAAAGTAGGAATATCAAACTGTATACCTTTTCCTTTCACATACAACAAAAGAGTAAAATTTCCATCTTCTTCCTGAGTAGCTCTTAGGTAAACATAAAATAGAGCTACCAGCCGTGGATATACCTTTTGGGGCAAATTAATTAAGTTTTGCCATCCCATTGCTTCAAGTTTAGTAATTAATAGTGCATCATATTGAGATGGAAGATTTACCCTTCTCCCTGTTACAATCGGTCGGGCAGAGAAGTTTGGAAAGGCTAGTGCATGACTTTCAGTGAGAAAATCATCAGTAGGATATGACTGCATTTGAGGCTGTTGTTCTTCGCGTCATGAAGGGTTGGAACTTTCACCAACTTGTGGTCTCGCTCTTTTAGTTCCAGGCATGATGTCAAAATCTGTTAAATTTCAAATGAATATACTTTTAATATGTGAATATACTTTTAATATTACAATGCATATTAAAATGGAAAAATATTACCATATTTCAGTATGCATACTAATCCAAAAAACATCAGTAATCCTGAAAACATCATATGCCAATATGCATATAATCAGGAATGTAACATCATGGGAAAAAGCTGAATAAAATGGATGTAACTTAGAGCAGTGTAAAAGTGAGACTCAAATTCAGAAATCAGTCCTGGTTGACAGAAATCACTAGGAGTTAAGGAAATGAAATAAAAATAGCAGAAGGGAGACTGAAATTCAGAACTTGGGACAATATCAATCCCACATATACCAAAATTGATTTAAAATGTAACTTAGAGCAGTGTAAAAGTGCATCTAGTTGACAGACATTTTCCTCACTAGAATTTTATCCATGTTTCCCTTTTACACCTTCAGTTAAAATATTAAACTTGAAGTGCATCTAGTTGAACAGTTTTATGTTTTAAAATATTAAACATGAAGTTTGATTCAAACATGAATTTCATGCTCTTGAGAAAGTTAAACTTGAACAAATTAAACATAAAATTAAACAAATACAACATACACACTTCAAATATACAGCATACACACTGAAAGAAAGAAAGAGAAAAAAAATAAATAAACAGGGCCGGTTGACCAACCGGTTGACCCGTGCCTTTCACATACTACCTCTTTGGATGCTGCCCTGCCTTTCCTGATTCAGATGTTTCCCTTGCTGAGTCTGTGGAATCACACTTATACTACACTGAATATGCAGAGTTTGGGATTAGATTTTGGTTAAGCCGAATTTGAAGATAGTGGATGGAGGAACACACTGACTGTGTTGTTAGAGGCAATCTGTGGACAGACAAGCAATGGTATTCAGTGAAGGTTGTTCATTTTTTGATGGCAGGTTTGGCCATGTTTTTTGAGCTGATATAGAGGTTCCATTCTTGAGGTAGGTGGTGAGGATATTACTACTCAACAACCAATGCCGTATGAAAAACGAGGCATGGTAGATGGCATGCATTCAATGAATGGTAGGTGGTGTCTGTAAATTGAATGGTAGGTGTCATTGATAGGTGGTGTCTGTAAATTGAATGGTAGGTGTTGAGGAAATTACGTATGTAATGTGTGCATAAATAATTGAAGACATTATGATTTGTAGGTGGAATGAATTTATCTACTGACTAAATGAATGGCTTATTATGTATTTTTTAACTATGTATGTTGAATGCATTTTAAGTGAGGTAATAAATGAATGGGAAGATCAATATCAGTAAATCAATGCCACATCAATAAATTTGAATAAATTTGTGGTATTATTAAATTACTTGTTGCTCAGTAATTGAAGATCAATAAATTTGTATACAACAATGCAGTAATTTAAGAATTGACCTTGAATGAAGAATACATAAATGAGACATTATTAATAAACTATGATTATGCAGATCAACATCAGTAAAAGAAGACATTATGATTATGCAAGTCAACATCAATAATTGAACACATTATGATTATGCATATTTCCATCAGTAATTTAATATATTATTATTAAAGTACCATTTAAGACATGATTATGAAATGTGCATAAATGGACGTGGTATTATCATTTGTGGCACATCAACACAGAATTTAGGAAAATCATTTTTATTTTACTTATATACTTAGTTCATACACTGCACAATTCTGAATATTAAAGATTGAATATGATAACAGGACATCATCACATAACTTCTGAATTACTTAGTTCATATATTGCATCATAATAAATATTACAAACAAGAGAACCTTCCATTCCAAAACTATAAACCAAAATTACATGTATTGATGTGGTTAATTTAGTGTTCACCACGATGATACCACATATGTTCTACTAAATCATTACAGAGGGCATGATACGCATCCTTATCTCTAATACCTAAATGACGAGACAGAAATGATTGGAAGTCATTGGTAGGAGTAGAGGAAAGTTGCACTGGTGTGTTGGTTGATGCAATATCATAATTGAAATCAAGGTGCTCCTCTCTCTCATCTTCGACAATCATATTATGTAATATGATGCAACTCTTCATTATGTTGGCAAGCATTTTCGAATCCCAATAATGTACAGTACCACGTATAATTGCGAATCGAGATTGAAGGACTCCGAATGCTCGCTCTACATCTTTCCTGGCAGACTCTTGCATCATTGCAAAATGTTGTCTCTTTGCTCCTTGGGGAGAAGAAATTGTTTGAACCAATGTTGCCCATTGCGGGTATATACCATCAGCAAGGTAATAACCCATATCGTAATTATGTCCATTAATTGTGTAATGGACAGGGGGAGCTTTACCTTGCGCAAGATCAGAAAATAAAGGCGATCGGTCCAACACATTCAAGTCATTGTGTGAGCCAGGCATTCCAAAAAATGCATGCCAAATCCATAAGTCATAAGATGCTACTGCTTCAAGAATAATGGTTGGCTTTTTTTGATGGCCTACGTATTGACCTTGCCATGCCTTTGGACAATTTTTCCACTCCCAATGCATGCAATCTAAACTTTCCAACATGCCAGGAAACCCCCGTACCTCTCCAATAGCAAGTAATCTAGCAATGTCAGTTGTCATCGGGGATCTCAGATATTCTTCTCCAAATATTTCAATCACTGAATTAGAAAATTGTTGCAAACTTTGAATTGCAATGCTTTCCCCAATACGAATGTAATCATCAACTGCATCTGCTGCGACACCATATGATAATATTCTCATCGCTGCAGTCATTTTTGTAGGGGAGATAATCCAAGTACATAAGTTGCATCTTGTTTTTTAACAAAATATGAATTGTGTGTTTGAATTGCATTCAAAATGCGTAGACACAAACGACGACGCATTCGAAAACGTCTCCGAAATATTGTAGGTGAATACACTGGATTTTACAGCAAAATAATCTGCAAACAATCTGTCATGACCCTGCCTTCTATCTCTATGTATATATCTATGACCTACAACAGAACCACCTATCTTCTTTGACCTATCACTTGACTTAAGAATCTGAAACATACTAGTATTATTCTGCTCATAAGCTCCTACAAGTGTGATGATATATTCATCATTAGACTCATCATCAGAGGAAGAGGAAGAAGAGGAGGATGAAAATGAAGTAAATATCATGGATTTCAAGGTATTCATGGTGCTCTGTTTTGTTTAAGGTATGATCGTATTTGTCTGACATATGGATAATAGGTTTATATGAGAGCATAATCCATATAGTAGACATATATGTAATGGAGGGAAAAAGAAATAGGAAAAACAATTGGGAACATAAATGGAGGGAAACAAACAAAGAAAAAAAAAATATATATATATATATGCTGACCGGTTGACCGGCCGGTCGACCAACCGGTCGCCCCCTTCCCCGGTTCAGAAAGCTGGGTTCAAACCGTTCAAAAGGGTAAAACAAAAATAATAGCATTTTACGCATACAGGTCAACCCACCGGTTGACCAACCGGTCACCCCACGACATTTGATGCACCGTTGGAGTGGATGATATCAGATTTGGTGAAATGGATCATTTTTGACTCAAATTTGATGAAAAAAGAAGTAAACTGTTGGAGATGCTCTAATTTGAATAAAAATTTTAAATTAAATAAAAAATTATTTTATTCTAAAATTATTTAATCTAATTCGGTCCCTTATCCGCGCGCAACGAATGTAAATTACCAGGCGAAGAATGAAAACAATGATTTACCATCATTAAATCTAGCATATCACCTATGCACGAATAAAATAATATATTATTTAACCAAAATATAATAATTACATTTATTTTTTTATATTATGTAAAATAAAAATTACATAGAAGGCTGTTAATCAGGATTTTTTTAATTGTTTAAAATTATAAAAATCAAAAAAATTAGTATGAGATATTGATCATGTGGCTTTTTCACTAAAAATTTTATTTTGCTTATATAAATAGGAGTATAAAATCCACTTTATGTAAGTGAAACAATTTACTTTTTCCTTATTTTCTCGATGTGGGATTATAAAATAAAAGTTAAATGAATGACAACTAATTGAGATTTTTTTAATTGTTTAAAAGTTAACAATTGTTCGAGTGTGAAGTTTATTTCGAATCAAGCAATCTTAGCTATTTAATTTTTAATTAGGCCAATATTTAATTTAATTCGAATCAAACAAATTTAACCAATATATTTTAATTAGACCGCTAAAATTGCAGCTAAACCAACGAATTAGTCAAACCAAAAACGGTTCACCCTATCAGTTAGGTCAAAAAGACCAACCAACTTATACAAAAATTAATTAATTATAATTTTTAAATTTTATTTTAATTTTAAAATTTAAACTTTCTTGAACTGAAACATACACAAAACTACAATATTAAATGAGAGTGTAACACTCAAAAAATTATACATAATGATAGTACAATAACCATGGCTCCTTATGATAAATCGGAATAAATCCCCAACAGTTGCATTACATGATCGTGGGATTCATACAAAATAATTCCACATGCGAATATACATTCAATGACTTCTAGTACATGAATCTATAGCATATAAATCATTCAATCCAAAAATATATAAATGCCTAAAGGGGCTTACAAATTTCAAGGCTTAAGCCCGGTTACACAAACATGGTTTCTCGAACCCATACATTTATAGCCCTTGGCTAGCAAAATATACCACAATAAAACAAGAGCCTTGTGCTCTCAACGTATACATCTGCACCCTAATTCGGCGGAATTACTACATCTTTTCCTGCACCAAAATCCTATAGGGTGAGCATAAAGCCCAATAGGAAATTCTTATAAAATTATATACATTTTATACAAGTTTCAAGAGATGATATGCACATGCCATGGTATGCATTTTTGAAAGAAAACCACATCTTCATCTTTTGAAAACTATCATGTTCAATGATATCTTAAAATTTCAACAATTCAAAAGTTATCAATTTAACTCAAGGAACGATAAATACGACTTAGGTAATTCCTAGGTTGGTGTTTGCAAGTAGGCATAACTAGTACTACCAAATCCCACTTTATCGGTGACTAACCGGAAGGGATATGGTACTTCCTCTGTTCGTGTTTTCGGTCTTTCTCCCCAGACACTCAGGCCAACTTAATCAATTTCATCTACACCCCCTACCCGGACTTACCAATATATTTACCCCAAAACAAATCCATGAAAACTTATTTCACAACATTCTTTTCTCAATGTAAAAGTTTTTAAATCCAATAATCAAAATTTATCATAACCAAATGAATCGAAATGCAAATGCAATGCAACATCCCTTCCATTTTCAATTCCTTCACATAATTCAACCATGAAGATCACAATTTCCAATTCCTTATTGCAATATGATTTCACAAGATAACCATATATCCATTCAAATCCATCAAAAGTAACATTATTTCCACATTTCATGTGTTCTCAACAAATTAGTCACTTCATGACTATGTCTACAATTTCAATAATGAGTTTCAAAATCCACATTTCATATATTCCATGAAGTTTGTCATCTACATATATATATATATATATATATAACAATGTCATCCATGGATTCTCAACATCATTTAAAACATCCAAATTTCCAGGTTTTCTCACCACAACTATACACACCCAAATCATTTGGAAGGGTCTCTACAAAAACATCTTTCTTCAATCAATGTAGTTCAAAACCCTCAAGAGATTATTTTAAAGAAATAAGGAGTAAACCCACTTTCAAAATTACTCACATTCTTGAACCAAAAATCAAATTTCAAAACTATCAAGGGGGTTTCAAAAATCAACTATATCTTGCAAAAACATATATATAACTCTAAGAAAATCTTTACCTCAAGTTTTGGAGAAGAAAATAGATGAAACCCCAATTCCAATGGTATTGAAACCTGATCTTCACCGCACACAACAAAGCCCTTGAGAAGTTATCCAACTTCAATGAAGGATGCTGGATAAAAAATCCAATGGATTTAAAGAAATCAAGGTTTTGATCTTGTTTGTGTAGGAAATATAGAGAGAAGGAAGAGAAAACTGTTTTTAGAGAGAGAGAGAGAGAGAGAGATATACAAAAAGTGGGATACACTCATCCCAAAGAGAAGAAAACAGATTTTTTTTTCGGACTCAGTGACTCTCGCACATGCAGCACCCATTTCCGCACCTGCAGCAACCCCCTCCGCACATGCGGCTCACCCCTCTACACGTGTGGCGTTTCCTCTCTGCACCTCCCTCCACACCTGCATATAATGCAGAATGTGCCAAGGCAACTCTCCTCTTCACCGCACATGCGGCGTCACCTCCTACACGTGCGGCCCAGGCCCTCGCGCGTGCAGTTCAGCCTCCCAGCCCCAAATCATCCCAGCATGACTCGAGACACCCCGAATTCAACCCCACACTTTCTAAAACATGTGAAACTTGACACGGAAATAAACAAGGACAAGGATTTTGAGAAAAGCTTTCAAATGCAACAACCTAAACCATTAACAAGACTCCAAGTTAAACCCGACACTCTAACAAAGGAAACCCAACGTTAAACAAAAAGGAAGGAGGCGGTTTACATACTCGGTCTTCATAACCTCCCCACCATAGGAAATTTTGTCCTTGAAATTAATCAAACTACCAAAACAAAAGAGGCTTCAAGTGATCAAAACCACGCTATTACATTTTCAATTCACAACATTAATTCTCAACCAAAATTCACCATCATCATCACGGCTACCTTATTAACAACAACCGCCCAAGATAAGCATAAGCATGAAGCTTTCCAATAAAAGTAATGACAACCCACAACATCATACATAAAATAACAATATACATTACGACACGTGTTTCACAATTTTACTACATTTCCCTCAAATGCTAGGGAATATTACGAAGGAAAACAACTTAAGCATGTTCAAATAAATTCGGATACTTGGAGCGGACTTCCGCCTCCCGTTCTCAAGTCGCTTTCTCAACTCCATGGTGCCTCTACAACACCTTTACTAACGGTATAGTTTTGCCCCATAGCATTTGCTCCTGGGTATCTAGTATTAGGACCGGTCGCTCTTCATAAGAGGCATCTTCATCCACTTCCAAATCAACCCAATCAAGTACATGAGAAGGGTCGGGTTCATACTTCCTAAGCATAGACACATGAAACACATTGTGAACCCCCAAAAGTTGGGGCGGTAAAGCTAGCCAGTATGCCACTTCCCTAATTCTCTTTAATATCTTGAAAGGCCCACTAAACCTCGGTGACAATTTACCACTCTTACTGAATCTCATCAAACCCCATCTTGGTGAGATTTTAAGAAACACATGGTCACCAACATCGAAAAATAAAGGTCGTCTCCTCTTATCGGGATAACTCTTTTGTCTGCTTTGGGCCGTAGCTAACCTTTTCTGAATGAGAGCAACTTTCTCGGTTGTCTCCCTAACAATTTTTGGGCCCAATAACGGTGCATCACTCACCTCGGCCCAACAAACCGGTGATCTACAAGGTTGGCCATACAAGGCCTCAAACGGTGCCATCTCGATGCTAGCTTGGTAACTATTGTTATAGGAAAATTCAATCAACGACAAGTGCCTCTCCCAAGACCCCTTGAAATCGAGGACGCAAGCTCTAAGCATGTCCTCTAAAATTTGAATGGTACGCTCCGACTGTCCATCGGTTTGAGGGTGGTAAGCGGTGCTAAAGGTCAACTTAGTTCCCAACGTCTCTTGAAGGCTTTGCTATAATCGGGCAGTAAAACGAGGGTCTTTATCCGATACAATGG